CTTCTGTTGTGGCGGCTCAGCCACGCTGTAAAGGACCCTAAGCTGATACAGCATTCGCAAAGTAGACGATCGAGAGGTTCTATTGAGGTGAGGATATCTTGAGGTTGGTATGGAAAGATATGTTTTAGGTCTCCCCGATGACCACTAGGGCTGATAGTAGCGCTAGAGGATCTGTTGTGACGGACCTAGACTGTGAGTTCCGACAGGCTCCCATGACGACATCCCTTTTGGCGGATGAGCACGGGTCAGAGGAGAAGACCGGGAGGTTCCACCTATTTGGACATCGGAGAGATGGAAAAGAGTTGTTGAAGAAATAGACTAAGTTGAAGAGTTAATTTTGTATTTCTGTGAGATCCCTTAGTTACAGTGATGCGTTGTTATTGCCACCCTTTCCCTCGATACGAGCGATTGAACTTGTGTTGGGGTAGTATCCTGAGGTTGTACTTGGTAAGATGCAAAATAGGTCTCCCAGACTGCACTTAACCCAAAGAATGCAATCGGATATGAAATCATAGAGCACTCGAGAGGTTCCTCCTCCCCGTGACCATCGCGATTTCCCTTCAGCCGCAAACACGATAATAAAAAGACTATCTTGATCGACTCCTAACCCTAGTACGAAGAGATAGACAGCAACGACAGATCAAGTCGGCCACATGAGGGGTAGCAGGAAAGGCATGTAACAAGGTACGCTGTAATTGAAACACCATACGAAAAGGAGATTCTAAGAAAATTCGGAGTAAATTTTGTAAACAAGCTTACCTGAACTTGATTTTAAGATTGATTTTCACTCATGGTAGAGTGTGTCCTGAAAAATTGTGACTTATACCGAAACATTGAATGCTCTCGCCATCGTCCCCAGAGAGGTGTCCTAGACCAACCCACATACTATGGCGGTAAAAACCAACAGGCTCAAAGTGAGCTAATGCCGCTCCTCAGACGATGCAGCGAAAGACAACGTGTTGGCGAGAATGATAGCGCCTTTGGCGTGTTCATGATGTCGACTATAGTGGGTGGGTGGAGGGCTACGGCTATGCTGATGAGAGGCCCCCTGAAGGACACTTGAGAGTCTGCTTCCAAAGAAGAACTACGACGCCGTTTAAGATGAACTGGCAACACAAGAGGGAATGGTGATGATCAACTGATGACTGATGCCTCCCAAACGATGGGTCGGATGGAAGTTGAATTAACCTTATCGGTGATTATGGAAGACACTTCATCCGAGTCGTCCACACTTGTGATGAGATGATCTGATTAAATACGATAATAAAAATGAAATTAACTTCGTACTGGTAGAGAGAACATCATCGCCGAGTTGTAATGCCAAATTGTCAAAATCCAGCGGCCAACGAGTCCTCTTGTATACCAAAAGTCTGAAGAGGAATTGCGAATGTGAATGACGGCAGCCGGGTGACCTGAGGTCGGCAACTTTCATGCTTGACGGAATTCTGACGTCAATCGGCTGTTTGCTATCGAGCGGGAAGATCTTCAACACAACTGAATCGAAGATGTTTCGAATATCAACCAATCGTCTCTACGTAGCGTCTTTCCAATTTTATTCTCCCGAGTCGTTTCCACCTCTCCGACTTGATTGGCTTCCACAACATGAGGATGAATTTCCTCCAACCTTTCGATGAGTCGTCCTCCCGTTGATGTGTTTGCATCGGCGATTGAACGATCGTCTCGAGAACAATGACGATGCAAAACGTACCTGCAGGCGGCATTCGAACGGCATCGAAATTATTCGGCCTCACCGTTCAGCAGCTATACGTTGCTTGTTTGTGATTGACGAGCCATTCAGTTCGTCGAGCTCAGGGAACAGCGATATAAGTAACTAAATTCATGATGCAAGTGGAGGATAATATCCTTCCAGCACGGCCTTCTTAGCTTAGTTGGTAGAGCACCCGCTTAGTAAGCGGGAGGTCGTCGGTTCAACTCCGGCAGAAGGCTTTTCCGAGTTTGACCGAATGTTATGATCATCCCGAAGGCGGCATGCGAGTTACTCGGAACGAGTACACACATGAATAGATGTGAGTAAATCCTCGGAGGCAGTAATTCGCATTCCCCTGCCTTTGCAATTACACGTACACCTCAAAATTTCGATCCTCCCGGAATCGAAAACCAATCGATTGCCCGTAGGAGGACCCCACCTGACGCGATTGATCGGCCGTAGACCCAATTGTCTTCCTATCAGCTTCAGCGTCGGCCGAACCTCCGCAACTCGAATTTACGTAACTGCAAAGTGATGCCTCGAAGACTCCACGTCTTTTAACGATTTACTTATCATAAATTGGGTTATCTGTAATCCGCAATGCCTTCAACTTTGGTAACGCCTTCGTCAACTCGCCAATCCAATTCCAATCTTTAATGCCATTCCGAGAGATTGACAATTCTCTTATCGTCGAATCGTCGATCGCCGATGGACGAACATCTCCGATTTTATTGCCGCAAAGATTCACGTCTTCGACAGATGACGGAAGAAGTTGAAGAACTCTTCGTAAATCAGTGAACTGGTTGTCCATCATAACGACCGCCTTCAGGCAGGCAGCTGGGATGATGCCCTCCACAGCGGAATCATAGCCGTTGGCTGATAAGTTGATTGATTGTAAATCGTCCAGTCCGACGAGGCAACGAGTCGTCACTTCCCTCCATGGGATTAAAGTCGAGGAAATGTCTAAACTCTTCAATTTCGCACATCCGCTATTTCTATTTTCGACAGTCGCATTTGGGAAGTTATTGAACTTATTCCCGGCGAGAGACAAATGTTCGAGGTTGGGCAGAGCGGCGATGAGAACTTCGACGTCGTGCCAATCGTGGAGGAGAGAATCTTTTAAATTCAACTCGCGGACTCGAGTTAACATCCCAGTGAGTTCATCTGAAGACCTTCAATAATTCCATCGTCACAACTTCCCTACCAATTCCAACTTCCCCTAAAGTCGCCAATTCGCTTCCCTCCAATCCGACATATTCCAGTTTATTGACTTCCGCCTGTCGATTGAATTCCGTCGATCATCAGCCGTCCATCGTATTACCAACTTCCTCTTTACGTCTTCTTCCCCTACAAGCCAACTTCCTTCAAAATCAACAGACGTTTGGTATTTATCGCGGAGGCATTGCCGAAGGTCTTTGCCGAAATAAACCTGAAAATTATATAACAACTTTACGAATTGAGAGTATTTACATTTTTCAATTTGGCAAAAGTGCCGCATCGTGGTTGGTGTGTGTCGAAGTATTTAAATCCATCATACGTACCATCATGACGGTCGGGATGATTTATTCCGTCCATTTCGATCCTGAGGGAGTTGGTGAATCATCGTCATCATCGAAGGTCGTCTACCCGACACGTTCCCGTCGTTGATTGGGCAGATTACCAAACCACTTCACTGTTCCCTTTTCCTTTGATGGTAGAAGTATTACCCTCCGGCCAATTACTGATTTCTCAACCATCAACTATTCTGCAAAAAAGGACGTGTGCTGATGATAGTCATGTACATGCGTGCAGACTGTGATCATACCATCCCTTTCGCGAATCGTGCGTCCGGCGTTTCATCATCGCGAGGGATATTCGCTATTCTTCCTCGCTCAACTGAAGTGGTCTCATCACCTCCATTGGTGGCGTGACACAGGTGGAGGGATGTGCTACTGTGTATGGAGAGGGGTAATGTCGAGTCGTCAGCCTCTCTCTGACACTGGGGATCCATACACCAGTGACAGATCGCCCAGAACTTCTGGGCCAGAAGAGGTCTTGTCGCGTCACGAGCAAGTGTCACCACTTCGTCTACTGAGGAATAGCGTCTCGATTGTCTCGATTGAGTGTTCATAATGGGTAGGCTGATAAGGGGTTAAATAATTCATATATGAGGGGCTCTTTTTGGAACCGATTAACCCC